ATAATTAGCATTATTATTATATCTATGATATTGAGTGAAGTAATTAACTTCTCAAAGTATGTGAGAATTGAATGTGATCATGCATGCAAGGTACATAGCGCTGTTGCTGGCACATCACATAAAATAAGTGCCTGAGTGACCACCTCGCTCCCCCAGACCCTTCTCTTACAATATGACTTTATCTCTTCTTGCTATACAACTAACTCTTTCTACCTCCATCCACAACCTCTTCTCACTTGTCTACCCGTGTCTGTTGCTTGTATTTCCTGTTCCAACAATGTGTTAAGCAACATCTGAAAGCCAGAAGAAGTTGCCCCTGACACCAGTTTCCTAATCAGCACTAAGGCCTGGGGAGACGCAATGGACCAGCCAGGCACCAAATGCAGATGCAATTGGCACACTGGTCAGGCAGCCCGAAAAACATTTTCACCAGCTCCTCTGAAGTGTTGCATAAGGCAAAGATACGTTAAGTCTGCGGAGGCTGCCATTTTCTGGAAAGGGCACTGTAGTGATCTTTTCTGAGTGTCTCCTACTTATGACAAGTTGGACTTGGGAGGAAAGACATCTGCCAAAGCCTGAAGCCTCCAAGGTATAGATTCCCTCTCCATAGAAATTCCCCCTTTTTTAAAATATCTTTTGTTAAAATGCCTTCTGGTGGACTACTGGGGCCGTCTGCCAAGGTTTCTGTTTGGTTGCTATGTAGAGGTTTGGAATATTTCACTGTGAGCACGGCTTCTCTTTAGGATGTGATTGTTCCTTTGGAGTCATAATACAATGTTAAACATAATAATGCAGGAATTTCTTTGGAGGAAATGTGGGTATGGATACACACACGTGCACACACACCTCTTAGAGATACTAAATCCCATTGACTGCACCTGAGTTTGTCTGCCAGCTCTGCTAATGAGGGGTGGCCTGGACATGCCTGAAGTATGGGGTCTGTGAAATGCATTTTAGTATAGCTTAGGGGACAGTAGAGTATAATGATCACTTGAGATGGATTACCAGGTTCTGGCTTGTAGTTTTCAAATAGTTGTCTGTGTGGGACTGGGGAAGTTATTTAACTTCTCTGTTCCTCAGTTTCTTCATCTGTTAGGGATCCTAACAGTAGTACCCATTCATCTGATGTGAGAACTAAATTAGTAAACATGAGTAAAGTCCTTAGAACAAACACCTGCCACATACTAAGAGCGGGAGAGGTGAACTTAACTGGTCGTTTCCTAGAAAATCTACGTTTCTCTGATTTTAACAAATAAATAACTGATTTGACCAAATTTTAGAAAACATAGTTTGTTTCACCTGAAGGTTGAAAATGCTCCCTGATTATTTTGATTATTGAAACAAACCAAGTTAAATAATATGGTTAAGTATTTTCTCTCTGCAGAAATGTTCTTGGAGTTTCTGGGATGAGAGGCTCCAGGTCTTGCATGCATATTTTCCATTATCGTTTATTAGAATGGCTACCTTGGGCTGGACAAAAAGTGGTTATTGATTGAACATGTGTTAGAAGTGCTTGCCATCTAATGATTCTGAGCTAGGCACGGAAGTGGCAGTTTGAGTGGATAATGAAGTAACAGACAAGTATCTAGGCAATTAAAGCTCAGGTTGATTAAGTGGTATAAGAGGGGAAGTTGAGGAAATTCTGAGAGCATCTAAAAGGGGTGCATCTTCCAGACTTGGCCAGAACTAAAAACAATGTCCTGGAAATATGACATGGAGGCTGAAAATCAGTCTGGAAGGGCCGGGCATGGTGGCTCACGTCTGTAATCCCAGCAATTTGGGAGGCTAAGGTGGGTGGATCACCTGAGGTCAGGAGTTCGAGACCAGCCTGGCCAACGTGGTGAAACTCCCTCTACTAAAAATACAAAAATTAGCTGGTTTCTGCACATGGCTAGCCAGCACATATACACCATGGAGAATTATGCAGCAATCAGAAATGATGAGTTCATGTCGTTTGTAGGGACATGGATGAATCTGGAGAACATCATTCTCAGCAAACTGACACAAGAACAGAAAATGAAATACCGCATATTCTCACTCATAGGAGGGTGATGAAAAATGAGAACACAAGGACACAAGGAGGGGAGTACTAAACACTGGGGTCTATTGGGGGGAAAAGGGGAGGGCCATCAGGGGAGGGGATCTGGGGAGAGATAGCCTGGGGAAAAATGACAAATGTGGGTGAAGGCGAGAAAGGAAACAAAACATGCTGCCATGTGTGTACCTATGCAACTGTCTTGCATGTTCTGCACATGTACCCCAAAACCTAAAATGCAATAACAAATTTAAAAAAAATTAGCTGGGTGTGGTGGTGCGCGCCTGTAATCCCAGCTACTTGGGAGCCTGAGGCAGCAGAATTGCTTGAACCCGGGTCACGGAGTTTGCAGTGAGCCAAGACTGGGCCACTGCACTCCAGCCTGGGAAACAGAGCGAGACTCCATCTCGAAGAAAGAAAAAAAAAATCAGTCTGGAGGGAGAGCAGAAATTATCTATGTAAAACTTGAGGGGACTTGTCTTTCAGGAATAGGGGGATAGCACAGAGTATTGAAGACATTTGAGGGCTTGGAACTTCTGAAGGAAGACAAATTAATAAAACAAGGCTGGATGGAGTTTTGAGACAGGGAGATGTAGGCAAGAGATTTAAAAGTTGATACCAGCTGTTCATCCAGTCTATCACTGATGGACATTTAGGGTGATTCTGTCTTTGCTATTGCGAATAGGCGAGAGATTTTCTGATCATAAAGCAGCAACTCTCTCCATGTTGCATGAGTCTTAGTTCATTAGATATTTAACCCAAAAGACATATAGTTTTCCAGTGGATAAGTCTGAAGTCTTGGCTTTTTGACTATTTCTATTTGTACTTCTTGCAATCATTACATTAGGAACTCATTCACATTGTTTGCTTTAAGCTCTATCCATCTTCCCTTGCTCTTGGGTTCTGTACAGTGTTGAACATGGGAGGTAAAGGCTCCTTATCGTTTTACATTCATCTATATTTAAATACATAGAGAATGTAATTTAATCCCAGCATGAAAATCAGTATTGGGAGGAAACTTTGATGAGGAGTATTGGTAGGAAAATTTTGTGACATTTATAATAAACTTTTTGGTAGAGAACCTTTATGAATTTTTATAGCATTTCCCAGTGTAATAATAAAACGTGGCCTGACTCTCCCTTTCTTTTAAATTAGTGCTTAGTAAATTTGTTACCACACTTAAATGAGGGTCATACATGTCCCCACAATAGAGAATTAGAAAGGTAAACATCCTGTAAGTGGCATGTATTTATTGTGACAAAAAAACTAAGTTATAAAAAAATGGATCTGGTATATAATTTCTAACAAAAAGTAGAAATTAAGATACCATTCTTTCTTTTTAAATAAAAAGCTTTTATTTTACATTTAGGGGTGCACATACATGTTTGTCATATAGGTGAGTTCATGCCACAGGGGTTTGCTGTGCAGACTGTCACCCAGGTACTAAGCCTAGTACCCAATCATTATTTTTCCTGATTTCCTCCCTCCTCTCTCTGATAGTCCCCAGTGTGTGTTTTTCCCCTCTATGTGTCCATTTGTTCTTATCATTTAGCTCCCACTTATAAGTGAGAACATGTGATATTTGGTTTTCTGTTCCTGTGTTAGCTTTCTAAGGATAATAGCTTCCAGCTTCATCCGTGTTCCTGCAAAAGACATAATCTCATTATTTTTTATGACTGCATAGTATTCCATGGTGTGTATGTATCATATTTTCTTCATCCAGTCAACCATTGATGGACATTTGGGTTGATTCAACGTTTTTGCTATTGTGAATAGTGTTGCAATAAATGTTCTTGTGCATGTGTCTTTATTAAGATCTTATTCTTAACCCAGTCAATAGTTTTGACAGAATTCAGCATCATTTCATGTGTTTATGGTTCATCCCATGCCATCTCCCTTATCAGTTTTAAAAGCATACAATCATTTTACAACCATTTTGTGTTGGGGGGTATTATGAATTAGAAAGTTATATTGCCCAGCATTCAGAAGTTCAATATAAACATTCTGTGTGTACTTTAGTGATACATATTTTTTAGCTATAATGATTGAGGTGGTTGTTTTGTGAACTTATATACAAACCTGAAGTCCTTTTTGTCAGAAGGCAGAGTATAAGTTTAAAGTTGATACCACCTGTTCATAGGTTAAGAATTCTCTATGTTATCGAAGTCAACTCTTGCAATGTTAATATGAAATGAAAATTATTCTCATTTTTACAGAAGTGAAACTCAGGTTCCCACGACATGGTCTATAACTAGTAAATGATGAAATCTGGATTTGAATTTGATCTTCCATCATACTTAAACTCTGCTGTGTTATGTTGATACTCAGGAAGACATCTCCTGTACAGTGCTATATAATGTAATGATTTGAAAAATATTGGACCTTAGAGTAGACTTTTTTTAGTAGAATATGAAATCATTAAGGCTATATGAGTTTGCGTACGTTTCTCAACCTCTCTATACCTCAATTTTTTCATTTGTGAAATGGAAAGAATATTACAACAAACAGGATTAAATATATTAATATACTCACAGCAACTAGACAGTGCCTGGCATATAAATAAGTACTAAATAAATCGTACCTACTATTATTACTGGAACGTGACTAAAGCCATCATTCTTATGTAAGAAAGCACTGCTCAGAGAATCCATATGTCTGGTTGCTCACAACTGATTTGAAGAAAGGCAGGGGCTATATATCAGTGTGTGCAAAATGAGAAAGAAATTGCTCTTTACCACTCCAAAGTTAAGTGAAGTACCAAGGCCTACTACAATGACCTACTCCAAGGCAAGACAGAATTGAATATTGTACAAACTCTGTTACTCTGCCCTGGTGTCCCATAGGTAGAGAGTCATTGTAATGTATGGACAGAATTGAATCCTTCTATAACACTCAAAATTTTAGTAGCTAGTGGAAAAAGGGAAAGCATAAAGCCTTTGGATTTCTTTTCTGTCCCAGTCATAAACAACCCCAAATGGCATCCCGTGAAGTTGATGATGCAGAGCTGGGGTCAGCCTCAGCCCATGGTATCCCAGGCAGTGAGGCAGGACCAGACGGGGTGAATAATTCTGTCTACCAGCCCATTGATGGATCACAAGACTATCAGAAAGGAGAACTACAATTCCTTGGGGTAAGTCAGCCTTAGTTTAAAAACTGATTTAAGAGGGAAGAAAAAATTCAGTTGACCTGTGAACAATGTGTGTTTGAACTGTGAGGATTCTTTTACATGTGGCTTTCTTCCACCTCCGCCATCCCGAAACAGCAAGAACAACCGCTGCTCTCTCCTTCTTCCTCAGTCTATTCAATATGAAGAGGATACGGATGAAGATCTGTATAAGTGGATGAAAATCCACTTAATGAATAGTAAATACATTTTCTCTTTCTTATGATTTCCTTAATAATATTTTAGTTTCTCTAGCCTATTATATATCATATGTCACATATAAAATATGTAATAATTGACTGTTTATGTTATTGCTAAGGCTTCTGCTTAACAGTAGAGTATTAGTAGCTAAGTTTTTGGGAAGTCAAAAGTTATATGTGGATTTTCAACTTTGAAGGGGTAGACATTCTAAACCCCTATGTTATTCAAGAGTCAACTGGATCATGTGAATTACTTTTTTATAATTTTATAAATTTTATAATTTTATTTATATGAAATTTATAAATTTTATGATTCTGAGTTATTTATCACTGAGTTAATGAAGAATTGGAGAAAAGACAGGGCTTTCTTATAGATCTGGGGAGCAGAAATGCAGAAGCATTCTCTCATGGTAGAAAACATCCAACCTTGGAGAATAGATTCCAAGACCCTTTAATTTTTGCTTTGTGCCTTTAGCCATTTCAGGAGGCTGAGCTCTATGAAGCTTATATTCTACATTTTAAGTTCAAAAATTGGGTTGAGAGAAAGGCTGAGTAGAATATGGGTTACCTTCTGTCCGCCTTCATCATATTATGGCCCCAAAACATGCTGGGAAGAGACTTTGACTCCATCTTACCTTACCAACCATCTACTCTCCTGCCACTTGAGGAATTCGTGAGAATGAATAGAAATGTGGGGGAGAAGTGAAGATGAAAGGCTGCCGCTGGAATTGGTGGGGATAGGGACAAAAAACGCTTTCAGATAAGCTCTTGCCCAGTTAATTTAGGCTTGACACTTAAACCATTTCAAGCACTGACATCTCCTTTCCGAGGACAATGAAAATGGTCTGTTTTCAGTGTACACTTAGTAAATGACTGTTAGGGCTCTTTTTCCCCTTCTTTTTTCAGGCCATCCAGATCCTGAATGCAGCAATGATTCTCACTTTGGGCATCTTTCTGGGTTCCTTGCGATACCTGTTCTACTTCAACAGGCACTTCTGTTTCTTCACCTTCTACACAGGCTACCCAGTTTGGGGTGCTGTGATTGTGAGTATTCCTACTCCCCTGGCTGTGTGTTATTTCTTAGATATCACTGCTGGAGATGTGTTTGATGACAAAAGTATTGTTTGTAGGTTATTTGAAGGTTGCATGCTGTGGTTTTGATTTGTAATTCTTGATACAAGCATTTAGAAATGAACTTTTTCTTTTTTTTTATTTTTTAATTTGTTACTTACTTAATTTTTTTTTTTTTTTTTTGAGACAGGGTCTTGGTCTGTTGTCCAGGCTGGATTGGCCTCCCAAAATGCTGGAATTGCCAGGTGTGATCCCTGATGCTTGGCCAAAAACCTCTTTCTGATTAAGAGAAATCACATTTGCCAAGTACAAATGAAGTCCTAAAAATTATCTTATATCTATGTGTTACATTTATAGATACTTAAAAAATTGAATGAAAAATGGGTATTGGCAGATGTGGTGGCTCACACCTGTAATCCCAGCACTTTGGGAAGCTGAGGCGGGTAGATCACAAGGTCAGGAGTTCGAGATCAGCCTGGCAATTCCAGCATTTTGGGAGGCCAACCTGAGAGGACCACTTGTGGTCAGGAGTTCGATACCATCCTGGGAAATATGGTGAAACCCCATCTCTACTAAAAATACAAATACAAAAATTAGCTGGGCATGGTGGTGCATGCCTATAATCCCAGCTACTCTGGAGATGGAGGCATGAGAATCACTTGGACTGGGGAGGCAGAGGTTGCAGTGAGCCGAGATTACGCCACTGCACTCCAGCTTGGACAGCAGACCAAGACCCTGTCTCAATTTTGTGTCCTGGGATGTAAATTTTAAAAAGGAGGTTTGTGTGGCTATTGCTGGATATCTGCTAATTGAGGGACAGCCAAGAAGAAAATGACTGAGACTTAATATTCCTTTATCTGTCTTACTTCCTGTTTTTAAACAGTTTTGTATTTCAGGAACCTTGTCTGTTGTAGCAGGGAGAAAACCCACAAGAACACGGGTAAGTAGCACTTCTTTTTCTATGATCAGAGGAGTAGAAATAAATTATTCATAAACAGTAGGAGAGCAGGGGGTCCATGGATACAACTGAGACACCAAGTATCATCTAATGTATAAAACATTAGTTTTCTTAACGTATTCAGATGATAGGTCAGCAGAAGATCACACAGATTGTGAGTGTGCATTTTTGGGGTGCTTACTCTGAATACTGGTGACTCTGAAGCTTAGAAAAAGTCTTCTTGATTTTTATGTGTTGCCAAGTTTGACCAATTCTAGTTATTTGGATGTAAGAACTCCCACCACTAACTAGTTTCACAACTGTAAGTCCAAACTTCTGTTCCTAACAACTGCTAAGTCTCTATGATGTGTTCTCAGTGAATCACGTAGCCATTGATACTCTACTTTCCTACTCCATTCATTCACGTTCCCTCCTCCATGGAAGGCTATTTTACCATTTTACTCTGGCCTCAAACACAAATCCTTCTTCTCTCATCCTTACTCACTGCCGATGATGTTTTTGTCTCTTTTGAGAAAATTGAAACCATTAGAAGAGAATTTTCAGACCTCTACTACTTAATGGACTAGATCTTTACCAACATATATATTTTTCTAGCCTCTTACCATAGGGTAACTCCCTGTGATTTTCTTTAAAGTGGATCTCCCTACTTGAGTGTGAAGTATAAGATTCCATTCTTTTTTTCCCCACACAAGTGCATCACTTTAATTTGTGTTTCTCTGCTAGATTTTTTTTTTTCTTTTTACAGATTCTCACTCTGTCACCCAGGTGGGAGTGCAGTGATGTGGTCACAGCTCACTACATCCTACACATTCCAGGACCAAAGCAATCTTCCCACCTCAGCCTCTCGCATAGCTGTGACTACAGGTGCATGCCACCATGCCTGTCTAATTTTTTTCTTTTTTTCTTTTTTTGTAGAGACAGGATCTTGCCACGTTGCCCAGGCTGATCAAAAAATCCTGGGCTTAAGTGATCTTCCTGCCTCAGCCTCCTAAAAGTCTGAAGTTAAAGGCATGAGTTACCTTGCCCAGTCTCTAATCAGCGTGTAAGCATCCAGTTACTGTTCTCAACTTAAAACAAAGAAGAAAACATTGACAGTATTTCTCCCTGCTAGGTATGGGCACAACTTGTATTTCCTTCTGTAGCTAAACTCCTTCAAAGGAATTATCATTTTCTTTCTCTAATTTCCATCTACCTAGTTTCAATTAAACCCACTTCCGTAAGACTTTATTTTATTTCCTACTATCCTTCTGTAACTGCTGTCACTGAAAACTTCCATCTTGCTAAAACCACGGTGATTCTTGATCCTCATCTAACTTAACCTAGGAGTAGCATTTAGCGTAGTTACTCACTCTCCTTCCAGGACTTTCCTCACTTGGCTTCCAGAATACATTGGTTTTCCTCCCATCTTTTGGTTTCTCCATCTCAGTCTCCTTTCCTGGATCCTTTCCTTCTCTCTGACCTTTTAATATTCTTGTGTCCCAGAGCTGAATTCTTTGCCACCTGGTCTTCTCAATCTCACACATTCTCATGACTTCAATAACATCTATATTCCCATAACCCTGAAATAAGTATTTCCAGCCTAGGTCTCTCTCCTGATCATCAGATGGGCATGTACAGATCCAAAGCTCAACTCCCAGTCTCTTCCTCCAACCTTCTCATGTCAGCTGATGGGAACTTCATCCTTCCAGATTTCCAGACCAAACACCTTACAATATCCCCGAGTCTTCTTTCTTTCACAGTCCTGAATCCGATTTATCAAATAACGTTGGCTCTACTTTCAAGCTATTACTATATCCAAGTTTGACCTTTTCTCATCTTTCTACTAATGACATTTCATCCAGTCCACCTTGTCTCTACAAATCAGGCTCCCAGCTTTTATCATTGAACTTCTCTTTGCCTCGCTAGAAACAGTGATCCCCTGAAGCCATAAAGCCAAGTATATCATTTATTTCTCCAAATGCTTCATTGGCTTTGTATTTTTCTTAGTGTTAGAAACAAAGTCCTTTTCATGATTCTGCAGAGCCCTGCATGATTTAGCTCTCCGTTAGCTTTCCTTCTTCTTCATTTCCTAATATTGCCCATGTGCCTCCAATGCCATTGGCCCCCTTGCTTCCCCAGAAGATTCTGGCCTCAGGACTTTGAACTGAGTCTTTCTCTAACTGCAAGGATATTCCCTCAGATATCCTCTTGGCTGGTACCCACAGCTCTTTCACGTCTCTCCCCAGTGTCATTTCTATTTAATATCATGAACCACCTCTCTTTGGATTCCCAGATTCTCCTTATCCCGTTCTATTAGCCCCTCGTACTTAATCGCTTTCAAAAATGTTATGTAATTTACCTATTAGTATGTTTACTTTTTTCTTTGTTTTTATTGCTAGAATGTAAGCTTCATGGAGGGTGGGGAACAGAAATCTTTCGTTGCTCATTGATATTTGCCTTGCATCTAAATTCTTACTCTTTTTCAGATGCAACACAGTTTTGGGATGAACATTGCCAGTGCTATGATTGCATTAGTGGGGACTGCTTTTCTCTCAGTGAATTTAGCAGTTAATGTCCAGTCATTAAAGAGTTGTCAGTCCTCACCATCACTGGACTTATGTATTTACATGGGCTCCATATCAAATGTATGTTTTTGAAGAATATGTATAATAATAAAATATTTCAAACAATCCGGAATGTACAGAAAAATAATATGTCAGGTACCATGCTACCATAATTTGAATCTTGGGTCTGCTGCCTATTTGCTCTGTAAGTAGTATTTTTTCGCCAGGGATATATTGTATTGGTTGCTTCTAGGTGCCTCAGTAATAATAGTAGAGTCACTAGCCCAAAAACAATTTTATTTTGTGTTTATATCAGCTTAGTGTTTTAGTTTCTGGGGATAAAGTAAATGCCTCAACTCCTGTGAAGTACTGTTAATGAAATTGTGGAAGGGTCATTTTTGTTCATTTTCCTAAACTGCCTGCTCTTCTCCTTAGTTTACTACTAATTCAAATTGGAAGGTGTTAGTGATAGTGTCAGAATTTTGTTTCTATAGATTCTTCCCCCTGTGGCTACTTCACATGCATTGACATAGAAATGCCACACATCTTTCTCTTCAGGTAAAATGTTTACATGCTTTTAGATTGAGATACTATCTCTTCTACAGTGTTACGTGTGTCTGTGTCTTAAATCTAATTTATGGTTCACTTTGTTCCATTTCATGGGAAGGAGATGTTTTGTCTGGTTTCCTGCTGACATTTTGTTTTCCCCTCTGGATGTTGCCACTGGGTTTGATATGAGGCATCATATCCCTTAGGGCATGGTGTCTCTACTGCTGATTCTCACCTTCCTGGAATTGTGCATAAACATCTCTACCTAGGCCCTGTGGTGTAATGCAAACTGCTGTGATTCCAGAGAGGTGAGGTTTTTCAAATGACTGATTATTCACATGTTCTTAAAGCCTCCCTCTAGGATTTGAAGTTGTTTTTGACTTTTAAACCTTTACGTGGTAATGATTTGTGGAGTTCTTGGAGTTAGGGATTGTATGAGTGTTAGAGATGGAATGAAGGCTAAAAAAGAATTTGGATGTGAAAATGCAAGAGGAAATACTGTATTTAATATATAAGAGCACACATTCCCACCTTGAAAAGATGGCCATTGAAGTTGGAGGTTATACAAGGTATACAGGTACAGCTGGAATTAAGTTTGATTATTTTCTAATAACTTGCGACTTTCTACCTATGTAACCTAGGAAAAATGAATAATTCTTTCTAAATTTTAGATATATTAAGGGTAAAATAAAATAATATTTTCATTCTCTTCTGATGTTTGTTGTGAGGACTGTGTACATAATCTTTACAGCATTTGGCACAGTAATAATCAGTGAATGGATTTTATGGTTGATGATTATGATGATAACAGAAGGGGATGGGAGGAGAAGGAGATGATGATCCTGTTCTCGGACATTAATGCTGTTTTATTTTCCAGGCGATTTCCTCATCTCCCAATTCTGTGGAATCAAGAATACCTCCTTATAAAAATAATTCTGAGAGCATGAATATTTGACCTTAAATCTCCAGTGACTCAGAGATTTACCCACAAACTCAGGAGAACATGAGCCTGCCTGTCAAGCTCGATCTTTCTATCATGTCACCAATCACAAGAACCCTGGACATGTGACTGACTCTATCCTTTCTCTCCTTACTGTAAATCCTCCTAGTGTGTTGTGGGTATAGAAGGACAGATAGATCTCTTCAGACATTCTTGGATTTGTAACTTCTATGATCATTACTCCAAAGTTGTTTCAGAAATTGGTTCTATTTTTTTCTTACCCACCTACTCCATTGCTTTATGAAGTTTAAGGAAGGAAGTTAGTATAATACCTATTTAATACATTTTTCCTGAAATCCAACTTCTGACCACCCAGTAGGAAGAAAATTGAGACTTTTTTTTTCATTACAGAGAAATGCTTCTTGACTTTAGCTAACATTAGCATTACAAAAAGTGTCAAATGAAAGAATTACCATCACTGTCATGAAGACAAATTTTCACCGTGTTTGAGGTGGGAGGGATAAGGCTCAGGGATTTTATTTCAGTGAACTGCTGGAATTCACACATGCCCTGATATGTAAATGATGATTTATGTTGGTGAAGCTGAGAGCAAGCCCAAATGTGTTCTTCAAAGGACAATGGGAGACTGTAAAGTAGAGAAGCAAAGAACAAGGCCTTTAGAATCTGACAGATCTGGGTTCAAATTCTGAAACTGTAGCTTATTACCTGTATGAACACGGTACCTAATCTCTCTGACCTATTTTTCCACATCTGTAAAATAGATATAATACAGACAACTACTTTGTCAGCTGCTATGAGAGTTAAAAGGAAATGAAAAGATGTGGAACAGCACCAAAGGTACTTGATGATGTTGCTGTCGGTGGTGGTCTTGCTGTTGCTGTTGAAAGCTTAGGTGGGACTGTGCACTGGAGAGAGACGGCAGAAACCCTTACTTACACTTCCACTGTGCCTCCTCGTATAACCTCCAACAACTTCAATGACCGTCTTTTCAAGGTAGCAATGTGGTGTGAAAACTTCCCTCAGTTCCTCATTTATATATCTGCTAAAGCACTTATATTTCTTACTCATAAATATTCAAGATAAATAAAATATATGAATTAGAAATATAAACACTTATTGTGTCTATTAATGTATACCCATAAGTTACTCTTAGCTGCTTGTGTATCATATGTGCAAAGGTTCTTCTCTACTGCTTCTTGCCTACTATATAATAAATATTTCTTTATTTTTTAATGCATTCAATGATCACTTGGGGAGTGCCTATTATGTGTCATGTATTGTGCTAAGAGTTTGGCATATAATAGAGAATGATGCATAAGCTCTGCTCTTAAGTCACTTGTAGTGGGAGATATTGACCCCTAAAAACACATAAGGCCTAGGAAAGGGAGAGTATAGGAATTTTGAGAAGCACATAAGAAGAGTTTCTAACTCAGATTAGAGGACAAGTCAGTGATAATTTTTCAGAACACTTTTCTTCTCAACTGAGATCTTAAAGATAACTGGGAGTTTACACAATGGAAGGGAAATGGAAGAAAAGAGGATACATTTAAAAGCCTTTAAGTTAGAAAAAGTTTTGAATATTCAAAGAATAAACTAGGAACTTTAGTGGGTCTAACTTCAGTGTATAATGGGCAGATGGAAAGATAAAAGTTTGAAGAGAGAAGTAGATGTCACAAGAGATTGTAAAATGACAGCTCTGTGAGTCTTTAGAAGCAACTGAAAATTTATATGAGTGCAGGGCATGGTGGCTCACGTCTGTAATCCCAGCAATTTGGGAGGCTGAGGCGGGTGGATTACTTGAGGTCAGGGGTTTGAGACCATCCTGGCCAACATGATGAAACCCCCTCTGTAATAAAAATATGAAAATTAGCTGGGCCTGGTGGCACGTGTCTGTAATCCCAGCAGCAGCAACAACAAAAATTTTACACAGGGATGTCCTGACACTGGCTTATATTGGTTTGTGGAAGTCAATTTTAAATTTCCAGGGAGCACAAGTCAACATAATTTGGGTAGCTTGAAATTAGCTACGATGAGAGGATTTACACCACAGAGATGGGGAAAGCTACCAGCTTTAGCATTCACATGTAGACTTTGCCTGCAGCAAATACTATTGTGTTGTTCAAAAGGTGATTTTGTTTCCCTCATTTCTCCTTTATTTATCATTTAAATGCTTCAGTAAGGAAGATTTGTCTCTTCTCTATTATTTATTTATTAAAGTATTTGTATCATTATCATTTTGTACTCGTGAATATTTATATTTTTGGTTATGACCAATGTTTATTTTGTTTCTCAAAGTTTTTCAACTGTGGTCATTGGGAGCTGAGTTGGTTCCTGTGTAGCTTTTGCATGCTCCATCCCACCCTTCTCTTTTTACCACGTTCATATTTTCTGGATCTACAAGGTTCTTCATGTTATTTCACCTGCTACAGACCTAGAATTTTCATTTTTTCAGGGAGCCCTGGTTTCTTTATTGAGAGAACTATGTTTAGAAAACCTGACCTGGGGGCAAGATATGCTTATTGCTACTGTGTGTCACTGCTTCCAGGCCCTCTCAGGGGACAAAGCTATGAAATATATGCATGTACACTAACCCATGCACACACATGTCTATATTTGTTATTGTATGTATGTATGTATCTATCCACCTCTCTCTTTCTATCATGAATTCCTACTGATAAATTCTACTCAAACATGGCCACACAGTTTCCATTCTAGCAACCTCCCAACCTTGCTTATTTATAATCTGTTTTCTGAGTATAATACATCTGACAACAATTTCCACAATCAAGGAGCGGAATCGTCCTTCAGTGTCTTATAAGATTGTTGTAGGAGTCTGTAGGTCATCTTGCAGGGTTGTCTCAAGTATTGAACAAAAGACAGAGGTTCTGAGAAAAAAATGAATGGCTCCAGCATACAGAGAGAAAATTGAGAGGGAGCTAAGAGGTATCTACAGTGATGTACTGTCTCTTGGAAAAGTTCTTGATCCCATGCATGCCTCAGAAGCAGAGAGCAAAATCTGTTTAAAAATGAGAGACTACTATTGCTGTTTGGCCTGAGGTTGCTGCTGGTGATGACAAGACATTGTAGATCAGTCACAACAAGCATACCAATAAGCTTGTGAAATCACCAAAAAGGAAATGCAACCAACAAATCCTATCAGATCGGGTCTGGCCCTTAATGTCTCTGTCTTCTATTATGAGCTTCTGAACTCCTCAGAGAAATCCCGTTCACCTGTAAAGGCAGCTTTGGTGAAGCCCTTGTTGAACTCGATACATTAAGTAAAGTTATACAAAGACAGCTTGCTAATGCAGTTACTGAGAGACACAGTTTGCTAATGCAGTTACTGAGAGATAACTTGACATGTGGACATTCGATACTCAAGGAGATGAAACTGGAGCAAGAGGAAGAAAAAATTAACCAGCCTTCCAACTTTTGTCTGCCTCATTCTAAAATTTACACAGTAGACGGTTTGTCATTCATGCTGTCCCACAAATAGTTTTTTGTTTAGATTTGTGACAGGTTTATGTTCGTTGAAGCAATATTCACAATGGCCAAGATATGGATTTTCTATTTTAATTTCAATACTTCCCATGTGGTTTTTTAATGTTTAACAGAATTTTTATATAAATTATAAATGTTTGGCATAGTACTTTTGGTGCATTGTGACTTCACAATCACCAGAATTAAAGCTGCCTCCAGAATTCATTTATTCAAAGTGTATGCGTGTGCACATGTGTGTGTGAGTATATGTAGTCTTGAGAGTTTTTACATATATGGCTATGCCATCTACAAAGAGAGATAATTTTACTTTTACTTTTTTCCAATTTGAATACCTTTTGTTTATTTTACTTGACTAATTTTTTTTGCTAGGAATTTTAGTACTATGTTGAATAGAAGTGGCAAAATGGGCATCCTTCCCTTATTCCTTATCTTAAAGAAAAAGTGGTTTTATACTCTTATATGCTTTCATATTGCTTTTAATTGTCCTTTGTTTCAACTTAAAAAACTCCTTTCAGCGTATCTTGTAAGGCATGTCCAGTGGTGATAACTTTCCTCAGCTTCTGTTTGTCTAAGAAAGTATTTGTCTCTCCTTCATTTCTGAAGTATGGTTTTGCCAAGAGTAGTATTCTTGGTTGGCATTTTTTTCTCTCTCTCTGCACTTTGGATATATTATCCTACTTACTTCTGGCCTGCAAAGTTTCTGCTGGAAAATTCTCCTAATAGTCCTATGGAGACACCACTGTATTAATAAGTCACTTTTCTTTTGCTGCTTTCAAAATTCTCACTTTGCCCTTGACCTTTGATAATTTATTATAATGTATCTTAGTGTGAATATCTTAGTATCATTTTATTTGGGGTCCATTGGGCTTTCTAGATGCCCATTTTATTCATAGATTTGGAAAATTTTTAAATCATTTTTTGAATGAGTTTTCTTTCTTTTTCTCTCCCTTCTTTTTCTGAGAACCCTATAATTTTTATATTGACCCACTTAATGATGTCCCATAAGTTCCTTAAGCTTTTTTTACTCTTTTCATTTCTCTAGATAATTTTAATAAACTGTCTTCAAGTTTACTGATCTTTTCTTCTGCTTACTCTATCTCCTGTTGAACTTACCTGGTTTCATTTCAGTTATTGTGTTCTTCAGCTCTATGATTTTTTTTTTTTTTTTTTGAGATGGAGTTTCACTCTTGTTACCCAGGCTGGAGTGCAATGGCGCAATCTTGGCTCACCGCAACCTCCACCTCCTGGGTTCAGGCAATTCTCCTGCCTCAGCCTCCTGAGTAGCTGGGATTACAGGCACACGCCACCATGCCCAGCTAATTTTTTTGTATTTTTAGTAGAGATGGGGTTTCACCATGTTGACCAGGATGAAACCACCTGCCTCGACCTCCCAAAGTGCTGGGATTACAGGCATGAGCCACCGCGCCCGGCCCAGCTCTATGATTTCTATTTGATACTTCTAAATCTTTCTATCTCTGTTGAAATTCTCCCATTCATGCATGTTCTCCTGACCTCAGTTTGCTTTTTTATGATGGTTATTTTGATTTCTCTTTCAGGTATATCACATATCTTTGTATCCTTGTGGTCAGTTTCTGGAAACCTATTTATTTTTTAGAGCATATTTTTTGTTTCTTCATTGCCCCTTCATTGCCCCTGAATCTTGCATTGATGTTTTCACAATAGTCTCATAGAATGAACTGTTGTTCATTCTCCCCTCTCCCCTCTCCCCTCTCCCCTCTCCCCTGGAGCATCTCAAGTCCAGATGCTATGCTGGACTGTTATTTTTGTTCTCAGTGGCTCCTAGACATTTGGAATATGGCAGGACCCATTAAACCTCTGAGACAGTTGAGGCAGAGCCAGTGCCTTAGGCAGCCCTCAGAAAAACCAGACCATTGAACGTATGGTTCTCTCTTTTTCTTTTCCTTCTCAGGGAGCTGAGTTTTTTTTTTTTTTTTTGGTGGTGGAGGGAGGGCAGTTGTGGTTCAGTGTTGTTCTGTTTGTTTCTCCTATTTGCTTTGCCCTGAGCTGGAAGGCTGGAATGTGGCATGTACTCCTTGATATTCAAACTGCAGTGTTTGTTCTCAATGTGTCTAGAGTATGCTAGGTCTTGTCTGGCTTTGCCTGAAATAGGCAAGACAGAAGTAAATGCCTCAGCAGCCCCCAGAAAAATTAGAATGCTAAACTTATGGCCCATAAGTTTTAACTATTTGGAGGCCATAAGTTACGACAGATTCAGATTTGCGTATTGCAAGGTTCTGTTGACAATTCTCAGAAAATAGCATTGTGTCCAAACACTAAAGACCATCTTCAGTTTGTTTCCTGTCTAAATCTCAAGTTCAATTCCTAATTATCTGCTACACAAATAATGAACTACTCTAAACTAAGAAACACCACGTAGAACCATGATTTCAGGACTTTTCCTAGCAGATGTGGGGTAATTTCCTAAGAGAGAGACAATACGGCCAGATGCAGTGACTCATACCTGTAATTCCAGCACTTTGGGAGGCTGAGATGGGTAGATCACCTGAGGTTGAGCGTTCGAGACCAGCCTGGCCAACATAAAGAAACTCCATCTCTACTAAAAGTACAAAATTAGCCAGGTGTGGAGGTGCATGCCTGTAATCCCAGCTACTTGGGAGGCTGAGGTAGGAGAATTACTTGAACCCAGGAGGCAGAGGTTGTGGTGAGCTGAGGTCCTGACATTGCACTTCAGCCTGGGCAAAAAGAGTGAAATTCTATCAAAAAAGAAAGAAGGAGGGAAGGAAGAGAAGAGAGAGAAAGAAAGAAAAAGAAAGAAAGAAAAGAAAGAGAGAGAAAGAGAAGGAAAGGAAGGAAGGGAGGAAGGGAGGGAGGGAGGAAGGAAGAAAGGAAGAGAGAGAAAGAAAGAAAGAGAAAGAAAGGGAAGGGAGGGAGGGAGGAAGGAAGGGAGGAAGGCAGGCAGGCAGGCAGGCAAAAAAAATAATAAAATTCCTGGCTGGGTACAGTGGCTCACTCCTGTAATCCCAGCACTTTTTGAGGCTGATGCAAATGGATCACAGGAGTTTAAGACCAGTCTGGCCAACATGGTGAAACCCCATATCTACTAAAAATTCAAAAAAATCAGCCCTATGTAGCTGCACACTCCTGTAGTTCCAGCTACTCAGGAGGCTGAGGCAGGAGAATCGCTTGCATTTGGAAGGCAGAGGTTGCAGTGAGCTGAGATTGTGCCATTGCACTCCAGTCTGGGTGACAGAGTGAGACTCTGTCTCAAAAGAAAGAAAGAAAGAGAGAGAGAGAGAGAGAGAGAGAGAGAGAGAGAGAGAAATAAATAAATAAAAAGAAAGAAAGAAAATTGTCACAGCTATCACCTTAAGTCTGAATGTTACCTTCTCAGGGAATTCCTTCCCTGAACTCTACATATCCCCTATCAGGCAGAATTGTTATACCCTCCTATGGTTCCAACATCCTCTAGCCTCCAACATATTGGATAATATCATTGTTCTATTCTGCTTGATTGTGGGCTAGAAGGAACTGGGATTTTGGTATTCATCTATGCATACACAGTGATGGGAGCAGTGCCTGGCATGGAATATTAAGTTCTTTTTGGATGAATGTGTAAGTGAGTAAGGTCTATGCCTTAATTCCAAAGCATCTTGGTTAGGTCCACCAATTCCTGAAGACACCGTGAGAAGATGACACCTGAGTTAATCAACTTGGCTACAAAAGCTATGCCATTATGTCTTTTAGTATATTCTGTTTATGCAAATATCATAGTTTCTTACAGAAATATTTTTTTTACATCCTCGCCAAAAAAGTCCACACATGATTAGAGGCATGATTTTTATCTTAAATTTTATTAATGAGCCATTCAAGGTTATGTTTATAATTAAACTGAAATAAAAACTTCTTTATCTTAACTGTACTGATTTTGCTATGGTCTAGCTAGTTATGGTATTAGAATGATCACATTGGTTTAGTTCTCATTCTAACTGAGGCATATTACCCAGTCCAATGCTGTTTAGATTTGCTAATGGGATTTGTTATAAAGGTCATGCGTCTCAGTATTTTCACTATCCCATTCTTGCCATTACAAAGATCTAAGCAACATGGGTCTAGCAATTTGGCAGACAATGGAGTCATCTTAGCTTTTACATGCTCTCAGGTACGGTTCGCAGCAGTTAGAATGCAGTCTGCTGTGTTTCCGAGACCATCTGCTGCAGAAAGTAATGTAAACAGTTTCCAAATGACAGAAAGAGAGAGAAAGATGATAGATTCTAAAGTCAGAGTTGGATCTAGAGATTCAGAGACTAACACACACTCACTCACATAAAAGAACAGCACTTCAGTTTCGGGTCTATGTGTGAAACCATGTATGCCTTAAACAGGGAACACACACTTTCCAAAGGTGCAACTGGATAACTTCTGACATAGAAATGGCTGAGTTGGGGCACAAATGGGGAAAATTCCAGAAGAAGGGCACATCTCTTTTCTGCAGTTCTCTCTCGTCTTCTCAACTCCTGCTAGAATGTCTCATGTTTAGTTTCTGTAAATCCTGCTAGCCTCAGGCAGAATTATGCTCCAGGGGTCTCAAATTTTCTTATTTCATGTTAGTCTTTATTTAGTAGGCTTCTCAATTTTTCTATTCATTGCAAGTAAAACCCTGTTGATCTTAATCAGCCAAGAAACTTATCTGTCTGGCAAATGGCTATGTATAAAGATAACTATCAATGTCATGAGGTAACCCATTTCAACTGCCAAGCAGAGCATGCAGTAGGAGGAAGTCCACCAAGTCTTGATATGACAATGTTCTTTACTCCTGGATCACTCAGCTAAGGAAAAAATGGACACGGAATATAATAGGAGAGAAAATCTTGCTCTCCCACAAGAGCCATCCGGGTAGGTACAGGGTATTATTTTTTCTATTCTCAGTCACTTAGTGGAGGGGGAAATCAGTCACAGTGCTTGGGAGATAAAAATTTATTGATGTAGCCATGGATCCATCTAGTTTAATTAATAAATTGGGTATGAGGAAGCTACTTGCTGTACTTTCCAAGTGTTTCTCTCTTCCTGGAGAGAAAGATTTTTACTCAGCTTATAAACTGGAAATAACAGATTTTCTCACATTAGAGGCTCATTTTCTGGGTATGAGACAGGAGAGTTCATACTATGTATGTAGATCTCTTGCTTCTGTGTCTGATATGTGCTGAGGGACACATCCTTCACAGATGCTTTTGTAAATACTTTATAAAATAACCTGCTTCTTGGTTGGTCTTTAGGAACCAAAAGCTATGGGATGTTTCTCTGAAGATGAAAATAGTAATAGAGTTCCATCTAGCCATTCAAAGCCATCCCTTCATTGTACTCTGTGTACATGAAGTTGGGGTTTGTTATTGACAAAATATATTCAGATATATTTCTATGTTAAAAGGATTGTGAGATGGATAGGTAAATGTCTTTATTTTCAGTTTTACTTGTCAGTATAGATGAATGAGAAAATGTGAAAGCAACATTGGATTAAGAATAGAAAAATTGGTGGCTCAAGCCTGTAATCCCAGCACTTTGGGAGGCCGAGGCGGGTGGATCACGAGGTCAACAGATCGAGACCATCCTGGTCAACATGGTGAAACCCCGTCTCTACTAAAGATACACAAAATTAGCTGGGCATGGTGGCGCGTGCCTGTAATCCCAGCTGCTCAAGAGGCTGAGGCAGGAGAATTGCCTGAACCCAGGAGGCGGAGGTTGCGGTGAACCGAGATCGTGCCATTGCACTCCAGCCTGGGTAACAACTCCGTCTCAAAAAAAAAAAAAAAAATAGAAAAATTGGGTATGGATTTTGTTCCATTTTGTCCCTTGGCTAGAGTTCAGCTGTTCTTGGTCAGTTACCTGGATGCTCTAAGCTTTAGTTTCTTAGTGATTACAATAAAAATTTGAATTGCAGGATGGCTTTGAAAGAATAAACAAAACCTCCCTTTCTGTCAGTCGAGGATGTTGCACAGGGAGTTAGAGAATGTTCTCATGATGGAATTGCTTTTAAATTTCACAGTGTGCCTGAAATTGAAGTCTTGGAAATATCTCCCCAGGAAGTATCTTCAGGCAGACTATTGAAGTCTGCCTCATCTCCACCACAGCATACATGGCTGACAGTTCTGAAAAAAGAGCAGGAGTTCCTAGGGGTGAGTGAGCCTCCTCCAACTTTGACTTGACTAAGGATTGGCTCTAGAAAATCATATTTAGTTGCACCAACTGGTTTCCCACTTGGAATCATGAGGTGACACATCATCTACAAAAACTTCATAAAGAGCTGACACTAACTGGGACCTTTTGGGAAGAGAGAAACATTTCCTCATAAAGACTGTAAATTGCTAAGACAAGACTGGCCAATAGGAGTGAAGGATTCATAATCTTTATCTTTACTTAGATGGAAGGAACAATTACTGATGTTCAACATGACTATGTAAATAAAGGCAGAGGAGAAAAGTCTTGGCCATCCATGCATTAGCTGATGCTTGTACCAGTTCTTATAGTGGCCAGAGTATCCTGAAAAATTTTAAATTTGGATCACTTCTCAGGACAGCTTAGCACACTAAAGCAGTTTCTCATATTTGGCTTCTATTAAAAAATGACATGATCTTGGGAAAATACTTCGTTTTTCATGAAATTCATGTGTTTTTCTATAGGTAACGCAAATTCTGATTGGTTTGATATGCCTTTGTTTTGGAACAGTTGTCTGCTCTGTATTTAATATTTCAGACTTTGAGGAAGACATTTTTTCATCATTTAAAGCAGGTTATCCATTCTGGGGAGCCATATTTGTGAGTATATAGCTATAATTGTTTCTGAAATAACACTGAACATTGGTTTTTCTCTTGCTCAGATCTAACCAGTTGTTTATTTCCAGTATTAAGATGATATTTATAATTCTTAACGTAGATATGCTCATTAACAACAACCAAAGACTCTTTCTATAATTAACTGTGGGTTAAACACTTAGCGCAGTTTTATCTGATGAGAAACCTGAATCTAATTCAAGTTAAATGACTTGTCTAAGGGACACTTGGCTAAGAGTAACTGAAGCTAAACTTTCAGAATCCAATTCCAGAAACATACATATAGCACTCTTCATTAATAAAGTTATATAATAAATACATACGGTTTTATCTGTCAATTAAAAGTAATAACAGAGGCCAGCCATGGTTGTTCATGTCTGTAATTCCAGTACTTTGGGAGGCTGGGGTGGGTGGATCTCCTGAAGTCAGGAGTTCGAGACCAGCGTGACCAACATGGTGAAACCCTGTCTCTACTAAATGCAAACAATTAGCTGAGCATGGTGGCACATGCCTGTAATCCAAGCTACTTGGGAGGCTGAGGCAGGAGACTCATTTGAACCTGGGAGGCAGAGGTTGCAATGAGCCGAGATTGTGCCATTGGACTCCAGCCTGGGGACAGGAGTGCAACTCTGTCTCAAAATAATAATAATCACAGAAAATAAAGTTATCTTCATGAAAAATGAGGAAAGAGATTGCTGGGGTGAGAAAACTCAGGATCAATGGACATATGGTGACCTTCTATGCCTTAGAAACTCTTTTAGGTATTTTCTCCTTGTATCTCTTTTACTCATTGTTCTATCTGGAAAAATGGATAGACGAGTGAGATCATAAGGTATATAACTTTTTAAAGGTCTAATTGATATATAATAAATGTCAAATATTTCAGGTGTACAATTTTCTAAACTTTGACACACAGACACACATGAAAACATCAACACATTAATACAATGTATGTATCCGTCATTTCCAAAAGCTTCCCTGTGTTACTTTGTAACTCTTCCTCCCTCCACTCCTTGTCCTCTCATCCCCAAGAAACCACTGATCTGCTTTCTGTAAATATTAATTAACTTGCATTTTTTTAGAGCTTTATATAAGTATGTTCTTCTTACTGTTTGTCTTCCTTCACTGCACAGTTGTTTTGAGATTATTCATTTTTTTTTTAATATCTCCAAACTGTATCAAATTCACTCTGTATTCTGCTAAATCTTTAGTGCTCAGATGACTTGTTCAGGACGCTCCTTGAACCTCTACCTCCGTTATAATTGAAACTTGTCTCCACTGTCTTTCTATTCCAAACACAGATTATTAGATGTCTCTCAACCCACCAAACTCACAATCTGAGTCTTTCAGAGATTGCTTTAAATTTGTGCTATTGAGTTATATTATATCAAATATGTACATTTTGATAAAAATGTCATCATGTACATTTTCAAAATCACTCTATATTCACGTGATATATGTCAAATTCTGGAAATGTGCATGCCACAAACACACGTTTTTTGCCTAAAGGAGCTGATGGACAGTGGACAGACAAATAGACAATGGCAATAGCATGAGAGTGGTGGTCTGACGGGTCCATGCAGCTGATGTTCCTGGCGTCACTACTCCAAGAGAAACCCTTGTGTCGTCAGGGTCGGCACCACCTGGGAGCCTCACGTAAAGGAAGAATTTCAGGCTCCAGCTAGGACCTAATGATTAAGAATCTGCATTTTCGGCTGGGTGCGGTGGCTCACGCCTATAATCCCAGCACTTTGGGAGGCTGAGGCAGGTGGATCACAAGGTCAAGAGATCGAGACCATCCTGGTCAACATACTGAAACCCGTGTCTACTAAAAATACAAAAAATTAGCTGGGCATGGTGGCACACACCTGTAGTCCCAGCTACTCGGGAGGCTGAGGCAGGAGAATTGCTTGAACCAGGGAGGCAGAGGTTGTGGTGAGCCAAGATCGCGCCATTGCACTCCAGCCTGGGTAACAAGAGTGAAACTCCATCTCAAAAAAAAAAAAAAAGAAAAAGGAAAAAGAATCTGCATTTTAGCAAGACCCTCATATGATTCATATACAATTTTTTTTTGAGTCTCACTCTTTCACCCAGGCTGGAGTGCAGTGGCATGATTTTGGCTCACTGCAATCTCCACCTCCCAGTTTCAAGCAATTCTCCTGCCTCAGTCTCCCAAGTAGTTGGAACTACAGATGCACACCACCATGCCTGGCCAATTTTTGTATTTTTAGTAGAGATGGGATTTCACCATATTGGTCAGGCTGGTCTTGAACTCCTGACCTCAGGTGATCCACCCTTTTGGACCTCCCAAAGTGCTGGGATTATAGGTGTGAGCAACCACACCCAGACTTACTCATATACACATTTAATTTTGAGAAGCACTCTATATAAAATGAGAATAAGAAAATATTGAGCTCACAGGTGACATTAATAAGTAACTTTATTGAGTACCCCAAATTTTACCTATGTTTGGAAGATGGGGTTAAAAACAACACATTGAAAACAAGAAACTCATTTTTGCTTTTCTTCCCTCCCATTTGAACAGTTTTCTATTTCTGGAATTTTGGCAATTATATCTGAAAGGAGAAATGCAACATATCTGGTGAGTTTCCCATTTCTTTGTCCATCCTTGAAAAGGCAAGAAGAATGGAGTTTTAGGTGTCCTAAGGGAAATATGTCTTTATCTCTTATATTACTAGTGAACATGGATATATGATTTTGTCTCAAATCTATTTTGTGTTGTGAGGCTTTTTGCAACAGAAGTTGGATACAATCATTAGAAACATATATTGTACCATTTAACATACAATGAAGTTTATGTTTACCTTGACATGTGTTTTTAAAAAAGTGTCCCCATACTGGCATTATCCTTTTAGATAATATTCACATGATCAAATAAATTATTAGTTTTCAATTAGGAAGACTATTTGAGGAAAGATGATGTGTGTTCCTGAATGCATTCCCAGCAAGAAAGTAATATATGCTTATTAAACAATGGGGACATTTTCAAGGTTTCCCTTTTTAACCAAAATTTTGAACCATTGTGGAATTTTCTGGATGCATCCAGCCCTGACATGAAGATAGGTTTATTGAATATGCTAGCAAGTGCAGGCCCAGGTCTGAGTGTTCTTCATTATCATCAGGCCAGAGGAAGCCTGGGGGCAAACACTGCCAGCAGCATAGCTGGGGGAGCAGGAATTACCATGCTGATCATCAACCTCAAGAAGAGCTCGGCTTATATGCACATCCACAGTTGCCAGAAATTTTACGAGACCAAAACCTGCTTAGTGGCTTCTTTTTCCACTGTATGTATTTTTTTCTGCTGTATGTATTTTATTGTGGGGAGACAATTCTGGGTCCTAACGTAAGAAGCCCTCTTTTCCTATTCCATGAACACCATCCTTTTCTGTAGCCTCCTTTACATAGTATAATGTTCTGTAAGTTTACGCAGTCCAGGGAGACTGGACTGGCTGCCCACTCCCCTCAACCAAGGCAGATTTCTCGGGGTTAAAGTTATCTGCTGCAGATAATGATCTCTGGGTTTTCCTGTGCCTGTGTTTGCGTGTGAGTGTATGTGTCACTTTAGAAGGACTGGTCGCATTGTGGGGAGATGAAAGCAGGAGACGCAATTAAAAAAATAGACTTTCTGGGCACCCACCATGTGACGCTGTCTTTTTGTTTGTTGTTTGTTGTTGCTCAATAGGAAATTGTAGTGATGATGCTGTTTCTCACCATTCTGGGATTTGGTAGTGCTGTGTCACTCACAGTCTTTGGAGCTGGGGAAGAACTCAAAGGAAAGAAGGTAAGCAGAAGCCTGATATAAAATCTTGAATGACAGGTTAAAGAATTGGAGCTTTATTCCTTAAAAATATGACCTCGGTTTTCTGAAATGTTTCTTCCAGGAAATAGTTTTTCCAAGTTTTATTCTTTGATTTCTAAACCTCACATTTTATATTCAGAAGAAGTAGCACACATTTTATAATATATCCCTCTAAATGAGGGTTAGGAAAATAGGATATGTATAATTTTTAAAAATGTGGATGCCTTGAAGTGTGTGTAGCATGAGAGATGAGTGTGCAGGAGCCACGTGAGGACACCACTCAGGTATCTGGCCTTGCTTTCTGCCCCAGAAGTAGCCACCTATTCAGAATAAAACACTTTTCTGTTTTATTCCTTTACTTCTTGATTCTTCCTTTCCCACTTGGTCTAAAACCTCAATTTTCTTTCCTTTCTGATTCATGACTACCTACTGTTTCCATTTGCCTCACTTGTCCATTACACCTCTGATGAGAATCACCAGCACTTGGTGCTCTTGCACTTACTCACATCTGATGGATGAAAAACACTCGCTCCATCTGTCCATGTTCCTGGGGCTTTCAAGTCTATCCACCTTTTAAAATCGCTCTCCTCCAGGCTGGGCATGGTGGCTCAAAATTGTAATCCCACCATTTTGCGAGGCCAAGGAGGGCAGATCACTTGAGGTCAGGAGTTCAAAACCACCCCGGCCAAATGGCAGGAACCACATCTCTACTAAAAAAAGACAACAAAGCAAAACAACAACCACCAATGAAAAAGAAAACATTAGCCCAGTATGGTGGCAGACACCTGAGGTCCCAGCTACCTGGGAGGCTAAAGTGGGAGAATTGCTTGAACTCAAGAGGTAGAGGTTGCAGTGAGCCATGATCATGCCACTGCACCCCAGCCTTGGGTGACAGAGCCAGACTCTGTCTTAAAAAAAAAAAAGTGGCTAGGCCAGTGGCTCATGCCTACAATCCCAGCACTTTGGGAGGCCAAGGCTGGAGAATCATTTGATATCAGGAGTTGGAGACCAGCCTGGCCAACATGGTGAGATCCTGTCTCTACTAAAAATGCAAAACTTAGCGGGGTTTGGGGGTGCATGCCTGTAATTTCAGCATAGGAGAATTGTTTGAACCTGGGAGGTGGAAGGTGCAGTGGCTACTGCACTCCAGCCTGGGTGACAGAGTGAGATTCTGTCTCAGAAAAAAAAAAAAAAAAGAAAAGAAAAATCACTCGCTTCCAAAGATAGAAATTTAAGACAGCAGATATACTAAGGATTAACCTGACCAACATGTTATCGACTGACATGATTTCTTTTGGGCCCACTTGGCCAGGCAGCCTGGTTTGGTTTTCTGGAAACGAAAGAAATAATTAGACTGTAATGACAGAGAGTATGAGAGCCAGAAAGACAAAAGTAGATAAGCCTCTTGAGCAAGACTTCTAGGGATGGGAAATTTGTGGTGACTGATAGGAAATGATTTTTCTCTTGTCAGGTTTCAGATGATCGTGTTTATGAAGAATTAAACATATATTCCGCTACTTACAGTGAGTTGGGAAACCCAGGGGAAGTGTCTCCTCCCACTGATTTATAAGAATCACATGTCCAGAACACTCTGATTCACAGTTAAGGATCCAGGAGGCCAAGGTCTTGTTAATGGGACACTGGAAAAATTTATATTCTCTCCACAGTCTGCCAATTTTACATTAGATTTTTTCACCAGATGAGAATATTTTGTTTTTGTTGCTTATGTTTACCTTAATATGCTCCCTTCATTTGTAGATATGATATACTCCTATTTTTCTTGTTTTTTTAATTATGATTTCACACCCATCCCTTCTAGAAAATCAACATGTAATAAGAAAGATTTAACTGTGTGTTTATAATTGCAAATACAGAAAACAGGAAGCCTGGCTGAAAGTTGAGTTAAACTTTGACAGCTTGATAATATTTGATTCTTAGTTGTTTTTTGTTTCTGTTTTTTTTTTAGCATTCCTAATAGTTACGGTTGGGAACGGTTTGTACCACCCACCGATACCCACGTAGTCACACACACATATATATTACTTACACTATATATAATTTTTATGCAAATATTTTACCACCAGTCAATACATTTTTGCAAAGATATAAAGTTTTATAAAAATCTGCATAATTGCCTGAATCACCAGCACATTCACTGACATGATATTATTAGATGGTGTTTGCGGATCGGTAAGTAGGAAATGGGGAATTTTATTAAGTTATCCCTTGTCTGGTGAGGTAGATAGATGAAAACAGGGAAACTATAAGTGGAGAGATCACTTAGTGAGACATTTGTGAAAAAAAGAAGAAATCAAGACCCAAGCTGAAATAAAGTGAGTGGCAATGGAAAAAATGGTTATATCTAAAACACGGAGAAAAAGAATAACTGGTAGATTTTGTTAACAAATTAAAGAATAAAGTTAGACAAGCAACTAGTTGACTAATACATTAGGTGTTTGAGTCCAAGATCAAAGGAGAACACTGGTTATGCTAAAAAAAGATAAAACGTCAGAAATATGAACCGTAGAGGAAGAGTACAAACAGACCTAAACTAAACTCATTTTTAGACTTTCATTTTCAGGAGAAAAAGGGAAATGTAGTCTTAGAGGGCCTGATGGCATCCCATACAGAGTTCTGGTAAACATAAAATTCGATAGAGGTTTAGTGTTATTATATGAGAAATCATTATTAAATGAAGCAAGTTAATACTCTAAGAGAATTATTCTGAGATAGAAGTGAAGCTAAGTTAAACTTTACATGCCTATAATTGGAGGAAAAAACTAAGAATAACATCTAGAATAGAAGATACAATAATTAGTCATGAACATGCATTGTGAAACAATAGAGAACAGATAGCCCAAAATAGACAAAGATTAGATAAACAGAAAATAACTAACCATCAGAGACAGTATCTGTTGGCTTGGGCAAGAGAGAAGTCCACAGTGATAACCAACTCCATATAAGACATGAATGTAGGGCAGAGAAAATAGCAATAGTGAATGAATGCAAAAGGCACTGAGAAATTCCACACATAGGTGTTCTGATGAGTAAATGAATACAACACTTGCAAAGGCCTTTAGAGACAGAGAATGGGGGCATATGTGAGAAACACGACAGTTGATTATGAATAGAAGGTGGTGAAGAAAACAAAGCTAAGAAAAATTTCTGTTTATTAAAGAAGGAAAAGATAGTTTATGTTTTTAGCTTAAGTATCAGAGTCCTGTAGAGGGACTGAAAAAAATCATTCTGAGAGTATCAGTCACAATGAAATAATTAATTACATTTTATGTATTGAGGATGCCAAAAATAAAAGGTGACAGGTAGATGTTAATTTCCCTAGATTATGAAAGTAATCACGACAGTCACACAACAAATAATTAAGTGACTTGGTTTGCTTTATTTAATTTCAGGACCTGAGGTTTTCCATTCTTATTTTTCTAAAATAAAATTTTGTTTCCTCAAATTTGACAGCAGAATATAAAACCCTACCATTTCACTGCTAAGTTGCATCTCTACTCTTGACCCTCTGTAGGTATTAATCATATCATTTCTATGGCATGGATGTTTACATACAGACTCTTAAACCTGGTTTACTAGGGTCTGTAGGAGTGGATCCAATCTGTCTTTACAGTTGTATAATATATGATACCTCTCTTATTTCACTCAATTTATATTTTCATCATTGACTACACATTTCTCATGCACATCACACACTTTTTTTCTCAAGATCATTCTGAGAGTTGTCCCACCCTGCCTGCCTTTTATAGTATGCCCACCTCAGGCAGACACAGAGCACAAAGCTGGGGTTCTCTTCACACTATCACTGCCCCAAATTAAATTGTCTTTCGAAATTTCAACTCCAAGGTCATTTTCTCCATGAAGATCACTGAATGCACATCTTTTCATCCAGCCTTAATTTCTTACTTCATAAAACTACTCTATCCCATGATGCAGTATTATATCATTGATTATTAGTGTGCTTGTGATCTCCTTATGTATTCTCAATTATCTGTATTTTGCAATAAATTGGAATAACGTAACTTGATTTCTTGTCTGTGTTTGTGTTTGCGTATAAGGTTGAGGGACTTATCAAAGATAATGGGGAAATAAGGCATCAATAAAATGATGCCAAAGACCAAGAGCAGTTTCTGAAGTCCTCCTTTTCATCAGCCTTTTATCAAATATAACACTCTGTAAATAACCCTATAGACAGAAAACAGAATGCAGGAACAATCACCAGCCATCTTTTGTCAATAACTAATGGAACAGAGTTGAAAGAAAACTGGAGCATGAGTCATATTTTTGACCAGTCAGTTCTGACTCTTATTTACATGCTAGGTAAACTTGAGAAAGTTTATTCTCCTTGTGAACCTCAGGTTTTGCATCTGAAAATGAACAATTTGGAGCAAAAGATTCCCAACTGGTCTTTCTGTTCCCATAGTCTGTGATTTTAAATATTTAGGATTGTGGTTGAGATAGCAATAACAATCAGAACTATTTGATGGACATATTTTCTTCTTCTTCTTTTTTTTTTTTTTGAGATAGAGTCTTGCTCTGTCGCAGGGCACCAGGCTGGAGTGCAGTGGCCAGATCTCAGCTCACTGAAACCTCTGCCTCCCAGATTCAAGCAGTTCTCCTGCCTCAGCTTCCTGGGTAGCTGGGACTACAGGCGCACATCACCACACCCAGCTAATTTTTTTGTATTTATGGTAGAGACGGGGTTTCACCATGTTGGCCAGGATGCTTGTGATCCACCCGCCTCGGCCTCCCAAAGTGCTGGGATTACAGGCTTGAGCCACTGCACCCGGCCAATGGACATATTTTCGAAGGAGCAGCTCTCCACTTTGAGTAAAGAAGTGTATGGTATAGCAGGACACCTGGAACAATAATATTTTTCTAAATTCCTCTTACAAATGCCAATCAAAGGGTTTTCTTTTTCTAAAAATTGTCTTAGAAATAAAATTTCCCACGTAATTCTCATTATAGGCATATAATAGGTAATAATTCCTGCTATCGGTATGAATCTGCTTATATAAACAACTAATGAATCAAGGGGCCATAATTTTAACTGTAACTTGATTTAGAGTGTTGGGTCAAATCTATATGTCCAAGAGTGTGAGGATCCCTTGTTAGTATCTGTATGTGTTATATGAGTATTTCCCTCCACTGGAAAACCTCTGTTCACGTGACAAGCAGTTAAGTGGGTTGGACTCATGTCTCCAAATAGCTTCTCTCTGGGACTTCCAGCATAGGGTTTGTTGAACAATATTGGGGAGCACGGATTATTAAGAAGGTAGATTTTGAAATACAATATACACAGAAGCAAATTGCAGTAGCTATATCAGGTATTGGCTCTATGATCTTTTAAAATTAAAATGAAATAAAATCATTTTATCTTAGGGTTTTTTTTGGTTTCTTAAATGGATAAACTAAATATAACTATTTTAAATACACTGTGTATGTTCAAAGATCATTTAGCCCAGTTTCTAGCATGGTGAGTGGAACCTATTTTTTTATTTATCGATATTGATGTGTAATCCTGAAATTGAAATTAGGGAAAGAGACACTGTCAGCTTCTCAGGAGTGTTTGGCAATATTCACCTATCCCTGAATTCTGGTTGGAAAAAGTGGGCTTAAGACCCTGGGTAAGATCAGAAATATAATTAATTGTAAACTTCACACTACTTCCAGAAAAATTGAACTGTAAAAACATATATTACAAAATGATGTTATCTTAGTCTAAAAAGGCAGAGAATCAGATGGAAAGAGGCTCTAGGGAAAATGCTATGAGATGAGTTTTGGGAAACTGTTAAAAACATATCAACTTTCTTCATCAATAATAAATATCTCAACCCACCATGTCTGACTATCAGAGAGGAACTGGTTGAAAAACAGTGCAAGAGGCTCAATCTGGAACACACAAGGAAAAGAGGGAGCTGAGATCAATTTTTGGCTCTAACACTAAACAGTGCATAAAAGGTGTCCAGAGGAAACAGCTCATTTCCCGTTCTTGTTATTTGGTGGCTCTATATGACATTTGTGGATTGGAATCTGTTTTGTGCTGCTGTAAGGCCTTGTCCTGGGGATAGATTTTGGCTGGGCAGAAGGTGGGCTGGCAATTGGTCTATAGAGAATGTTAGGAGTGGGTTCTTACATGGTATGGTATTGTTCAAAGACCTTTTTTTTTTTAAGAGACAAGTGTCCTAGGATAGACAACTGTGCTGCCACGTTTTGCCATTTGTAAATAAATTGATATTTTATATAACATGATGCTATGTGCATGGCAATACACCTCAATAAAGGCTGATGCCCTATTAGATTCCAGACATTTTGCTAAGACACAGAACAGAAAGTATGAATATGCTCTAAACGCTGCCCTTCAGACGTTCATGTGCAAAAAGGGAGAGAGGAGAGAAAGTTCCACTTAGGCAAACAGAAGTTGCTATTAGAACATAGAGAAAGAGTTTCTTCTGGCATGAGCAGGAACCATGAGAAATCAGCAGTTAAACTGGAAAATTGTAACTGGAATTCAAATCCTGTAGGAGAGTAAGAAAGTGAATAAAGTCAGACTTACGTGAATTTCCATTTTGTCTCCAACCTTCTGATGAAAGCCTAACTTGTATTACTTCACCTTAGTCTATGAAACAAACTCTGAGGTAAGCAATACCTCCTTAAAGCTGTCAGCTTCTTTACGTAACAAGAATAAGAATGATTTGCCCAAGGCCACTTAGCCAGGAGATTATAGAGCTGGGATTTAAACCCAGGCCGGCTTCACTTTACTGTTTGTGTTCTTCCAACCTTGGCTTTACTGCCTGTCTTAGTCATGGGAGGTGTGAAATTAACGAATACTATCTTCCAAATGATGTGCGTTTGTTCGTGAGATAGAAAACATGAGGCATTAATTGGTGGTACAGTTCTATGTAGTTATTGCTACATAACCATTTTTTTTTTTTTAAACCTAGACACAAGAACTGACTTCTTTACACCTGACAACTCCAGCCCCTGGAATCATCTATTTCCAGGTCTCTGGTATCATCTGCTACCTTGGGGTCTTCTACCAGAGTTTATAACAGATGAAAGATGTCTACTTCTTTTAGAATTCCTCTCTGAAGGGAGGGTGATACTCTAAATATGGAGTGAACACTTGATTATCTTAGGTTTTATTACAGAATGAAGATTCTTGTTTCCAGAGGTGTTATGCCCTAAATTGTGTTCCCCTCGAAGTTTATATGTTGATGTCCTAAAGCCAGAACCTCAGAATGTGACATATTTGGAGACAGAGTCTTTAAAGAGTAGTTAAATTAAACTGAGATAGTCAGGATGGACTCTAACTCAATATGAGTAACGTTCTTCTAAGAAGAGGAGTTCAGGACACAGACATATACGGAAGGAAGACTATGTGAAGACAGAAAGAAATTGGCCTTTGAAAGCCATTGAGAGGTCTGGAACAGATCCTTCCCATACAGTCCTCAGGAGAATGCAGCCCTGCTGACATCTTGATTTAGGCTTGCTATAACCTCCAGAACTGTGAAAACATAAATTTCTGTTTTTAAGCCACCCAGTCTGTGATACTTTGTTATGGCAGCCCTAGCAAACTAATATAAATAGGATGAAAATCGGCAGTCCAAGAAGCACCAAAATTCCCAGTTAAGGATAACCAAGACACTTGGAATTACATTGTCTCCTCAAAGCAAACTGTAGTAATTTTTCAAGGAGAATTTAAATGCCCTGGTGATAAATGAGCCTCAGACCCATAGTTATCTCTCTCCTCTTTAGATAAATCTAAAGAGAGAATAATGAGAAGAGATTCACCATTCTAAATTACAAGATTTAAAATAAATGCATGGCTGGACGTTGTGGCTTGCTCTGTAATTCCAGCACTTTGGGAGGCTGAGGAGGGCAAATCACCTGAGGTCAGGAGTTCGAGACCAGCCTGACCAACATGGTGAAACCCCATCTCTACTAAAAATACAGTATTAGCTGGGCATGGTAGAGCATGTCTGTAATCCTATCTACTTGGCAAGCTGAGGCAGGAGAATCGCTTGAACCCAGAGGTGGAGGTTGCAGTGAGCCAAGATCATACCATCTCCAGCCTGGGCAATAAGAGTGAAACTCCGTCTTAAAATAAATAAAATAAAAATAAAAAATAAATGCATGCCATTTTATCTGTAGAGACTTTTGAGTAGGAGAGAGTAGGTTTGGGTTGCACATTCATGGGAGGGGAATGACGGTAGTTGGGAAAGGTGTACCTGCAGAGATGTATGTGGAGAAATATAGGACTCTGTTATGACAGTGTTCTCCAAGCTTGTCTGACCACAATGTCTCAAACAAACCTATTAAATCAGAATTGCCAACAGAGTGAGCCTGTTGAGGGGGATAAAGCAGCTCCTTCTTGGATGCTTCTGTAACCAGCAAAAAGGGTCCGGCTGCTGCTGAACTTATGGAAAGCAGTCAAAATAATAACAAATTGTGATAAGAAAGAGCAATATTCCTTTATTATCCATGCTAGGTAAGGGGAAGAGTAGAGAGCGATTCTACTCTTCAATTTGTGGAGGGAACGCAGGGTTTTTTATAGAAAGAGTTTGGAATACAGAACAGGGAAGGGGCTAGGAGGTGCCAGGAGGCGTGATTTGCTCCGATGTCTCATCTTGAATTATTGTCTCATTTGCCCAAGTAGCTGTCACCATCATGGATCCTGTCAGGTTATAAATTAGTTGCAATCAGTCTTGTAGTCACCTGGAGTGGGTTCCATCCTAGAAGTAATCTTTTATTGGAGAAAAAAAATTCCAGAAGAGCCTGACCCTTATCAGGATCTGACCCATGAGGCTTCCAAGGAAAGGTTGGATCAGATAAGAGAGCGTGGTGTGTGCTTAACAAGCACGTAGGTAAATAAATGTGCGTAAGGCCTGGGAGCATAGTATGGGAAATGAAAGGGAGTGGAGGCTCACAGCACATTCTGCGCCTGTATTTAAAGATGAGAGGTGACACATATGCTGTTTGTCTCGAAGTTCTATCTTGAGACTGGGAGGGAAAAGAGGAAAGCAA